AGTCATCCGTGATTTCGGAGTCATCAAAGCTCAGCAAACGATAAGTTAGAATGCCTTTACTAGGGATTTTCGCATCGTTTTGACCGCTTGTACATAGTGCTTCATGGTGAAAGCTTTTTCTTTGAACTCCTGTGAGGGCTTCCGTGACAAACTGAAACTCGGAGCGTGCCGTTCAGTCGCTCGACGTGCCATTTATTTAGCAACCGAAGCAAGCGACGTCGGTAAAGTCAATCGTGCTCCGGCCAATTTTTTTTTAATCGATGTTCAAACGCTTGACGAATGTCTATTTGATCTCCAAGAACCCGACATAATCATCGCAGCACATCATAAAATGCTCGCCCTCGAGCACCGCGTACAAGCTTCCAATTTTTGCATGTTTCTTCCTTAGACTTGCGTGAATTGCCTCATGATGTAAAATGCCAAAGCAACAAGGACGAAAATGAAGGGAGAACTAGACAGGACGCGGCATATTGCCTGTCGTCAAGCAATGGCCGCCGGTGAGGCCAGTGACGGGCTCCCAATTCGCGATACAGACTTGCACTGTGAGAGTTCTAATGCATTACACCCACCGGGTGCTGCACGGAGAACAGGCCCCGAATGAACTTGCCAAATGCACCCAGTGCAGACTGATGCTGTCGCCATAGATGTTGTAGAAAAGTACCGACCTCAAACCGAAACTAGCGCCTTTTTGTTCGACGTGATGGGTGGGAATGCGAGAGTGAAGTCGCTGCCATCGTTTAAACGTTGGTTGCTGCAACGTGGAACTTACATTTGTATTTGCGATGACTTCCACTTAAGCAACTCGGCAGTCAGAGATATCTACAGACGGCGTAAGTTTCCGAAACCAGTTGACTACAAAACAGCATACGCTTGAGGAAATTGATGGCACTGTACGCGCAAGAGCTTGCTTCGTTTTAAGCATAATATTATGAGTGAATAACTGAAAGGATACGGCTTAAATCTAGTTCTTTGGAACAGCTAGCAATACGTTTCGTAAGACTTTTTATTTCCCTAGCATTGAGAACGAGAGCTTTCTCAAAACAAAATATGACGGGGCGAGATAGCTGCCATTCATATTAGACTTTGCTTGAGTCTCGGGCAACGTCTCCATGTTTAGCCTTCCCGGACGCTGAGTAAATGCGTCGCAGGTTTCTGCTGTGGGAGCTTTGTCGAAAAATGTTGCACTTTTCACCCATACACAAATGATGCTAGATCTCGCGGCCCCTGTGGTTGTTCTGGGGCTTTCATTGCACACTGGTAGGTTTCAGCGTCTGTACGGCTACAAAACGAGTAAAATTTCGCGAATAAAAGACGGGCCGTCGATTCCTCCCTTCGTGAAATATCAGACGCTTACAATTCAAGTTCGCGTTTGAGTTTGTGGCCCGCGGGACGCGATTTCGAGCAGAAAACCAACTTTTTCTTTCAGTTCCGCTGTGCGAATGCCTCATCGTAGCAGACGAACTCTCGTCGTCTGCTCTCGCTCCTCGCCTGGGCGAGGCATGACGGGATTGTCGGCGCTAGAGAGCCCAAAGACGACGTACAGCGAGCGGCGTGAACGCTCGCCTCCCCGCGCTGTCTCGTGCTCTCGTGCATCGCCTAGGGATCGCGGGGGATTTTTCGTCAAAAGTTGCGAAGTTGAGCGCGCACAGGGAGGAGGAAACTTTGCGGCGTTCTTTTGGTCACTCCCCCCGCTACGTCAAAAAGCGAAGAATGTTTTGCTCCACGAGTTTAGCTACCCTGAGCTGACACACTCCGGCAGTGGACGGTCGGTTTTGTGTCAACCAGTGCGATCCGATGGCAATCGTGACGGTGGGGACATGGACTCCCACCGAGGCAATGCCGGAGAAAAGGACCTAGAAGTCCAGCGGAGCAACAGAGAAGAAACGAAGGCACCTGGTGAAACCAGCACTCAACAAGTCAACACAGCGGCAAATGTGGAGCAAGAGAAAGCTGCAGAAAGGACGACAGATGCGGGACAACAGAGCCTAGAGAGCACGCTGCCCTCGAGGAGTTCGGACGGAGTGCGAACCGACAAACGGAAACACGTGGACGGAGCAGAAGAAAAGGGTGATGCAACAACTGGCTTCCAGCGACCACCCCAGGGTGTGACGCGAGAGGCGATTGTAGTCGGAGACGACAACGTACCCCGTTTCGCACGCGTGCTCGACAGGGAAGTAGGCGATAGCCGACGGCTGGAAGTGCTGTACAACAGGGAGGCAACAGCAGAGGTGGCCGAGAAACTAATTGAAGATTATGAGAGTCAGGCACGAAAGGTACGCCGACTATATGTGCTCCATGTTGGCATCAAGGATTTGCTGCAAGGAAGGAGGCCAGAAGAGATTGTGGACCATCTCAGGAACACATGGTCGAAACGAAGTGACGTCCTAGCCATCTGTGCAGTGCCTGAGGTTGCAACTAGGGGAAAGGCGGTTCAGGCTGCAGCCATGTCACTGAATGTGAAGTTGGGAGACCTCTGCCAAGAGCTGAGGGCAACATACATCAACCTCAGCAAGGACTTGTACCATGAGGACATGACCAGAGATGGACTGCACTATAGTCAGGAAGGAGGAAGGAAGGTAGCAGACCGCCTAGCCCGGGTGATAAGTCGTTTTTTAGGTACGCGCAGACGAGGCAGAAGTGTGAAACAAACACAGCGGACCAGTCAACAGAGTCAAGGGAGCAAGCACCAGGAGACAACAACACGAGGCAGGGAGATACCGAACCAGACGTTTCACTCCAGCGGGGTACGAACTGCAAAACCGGTACGTCCACAGTGGTGCGGTCCAGGCGACCAAGAACAGCGGCAAAACGAGGCAACGTCACAGACAGAGAAAACGTGGCCCACCCACCGCCCACAACACCCAGCAGAGCAGAGCTTTCCACAGGCCAACCCCTTCGTAGGGCTCCCGCCTCCACCTCTACTGGAACCCACACACCCCCAGCAATGGGGGCCCCAGCCACCAGTGCTAGTGCAACGGAGACCCGAGGTAGCTCCTATCCCCCACCTGTTTTCAATGGTGGCACACATGGTAAACTGCCAACTGGGGAATGTCCTGGGACGCCAGCCAGCATAGGGTTTCCCCTCAACACAGGGAGAAAGGGTGATCGGCAAATGAAGAGGTCACAGGAGCGAAGACGAAGACGCCGAAACAGAAAGGTGGCGAGAAAAGGAACGAAGGTGGCTTTCCTAAATATGCAGGGAGGACGGGGAGAAGGAAAGTGGAACGAGGTTGCAGCCATGATGGACAAAGAAGAAATCTCCATCTTTGGGCTGGCGGAGACTCATCTACGAGGAAAAGAATGCCCACCCATTTTCCCAGGTCTGGTTTGGGAGGGCTGTAACAGGCAAGGTGAAATGAGGAAAGGAGGTGGAGTTGGAGTCCTCTTCCGAGACAATGAACAATGGTCCAGAACAAAAGTGGAGTGCTGTGAACATATGTGGATGAGGGGCACAGTGAAGGGAACACCGCTGGCAGTTGCAGTGGTGTACTGGTGGACAGGGAAAGGATCGAAGGAGAAGAACAAAGAAATGGCCAAGTGCTTGAGTGAAGATGTCCAGGAGATGAGGAACCATGGAGATGACATAATTCTCCTGGGGGACTTTAACGCACATATTGAGGAATTGGACGGTAGGAGGGATGGAAACGGGCAGTACCTACTTGACTTGATAGAGACCAATGACTTGGTACTTGGAAACACACTGAGCACATGTGAGGGAAAGTACACCTGGGTATCCGGAGACCGAAAGTCATGCATCGACTACATCCTCATGTCCCCGATGTTAAGTAGAAAACTGGTCAGGGTTACCATCGACGAGGAGGGTGCGGTCAGTGTTGGCAGCGACCACAACAGAATCTTGGCTATCTTCGGAGGACCGAGGACCACAGGCGCTACACGTAACTTGCCAAGGGAGCGAGCTCTACGAGAGAACGAGATTGAAGAGATTGCCCGTAAGCTAGAAAAGGTGGCAAACAGAGACATGACCTATGAGAGCATTGTGAATTGCATTAGCATGGAAATTAAGAAGATGAAGAAAGGCAAGGGCATGTCAACGAGGAGGGAATTAAAAAGCTGGTGGCACCCGGAAATCAGACAAGCCATCAACATTCGCCAAGAGGCCCGCAGGTGTCATCGAACAGCGAGAGAAAGGAAAGTGAAAGAGGAACTTTGGGAGAAGTACAGAGAAGCCAAGCTAAAGTGCAAACAAGTGGTCCAAAGGAGAAGAAGGACAGTGGGGAGGCATACACTGCAGGACTTAAAGCGAAGCGGAAGAGCAGCACCCAGGAAATTCTGGAGGCATATGAAACGCCTAGGAAGGCCAACAACAGCATTACAACACCTGAAGAGTCCACTGACCCTGGAAATCGTCAAGGACGAGGAGTGTCTCAGCTTGGTGTCACAGACTGTGGCCAAACTGCTCCAAGAGGAGGCACACCCAGGGGACCCACGATATGAAATTACACCTAGCACAGGAGGGTAAGCACAAAGGCAGAGCAACAACACGTGGGAAGAGACCCCGGAAGACTCTGACTTGCTGGAAGAACCATCGAAAGTGGAAATGCACAGAGTCCTTCAGAACATGCAAGCGGGCACAGCCATGGGGCCGGACAGGGTGCCGATGTGCGTCTTGAAGAAAATGGGACCCAAGATGAAGGAAGCCCTACAAGGTGCACTTGGAGATGTCCTACACGGCAGAGACGTACCTGAAGATTGGAGGCACGGGAGAGTGAAGCTCATATATAAGGGAATGGGAGAGAAGACAGACCTGACAAACTACCGGCCCATTACTGTGACCTCCACTATGTACAGGGTAGGCATGCAAGTCATAAGACGCAGACTGCAAGGCTGGGCAGAGCAGAAACATGTACTGGGCGAACTCCAGAACGGCTTCAGGAGTGGCCGACAGTTCGAGGACAACCTGTATGTGCTGACCCAAGCAATTGAGATTGTACAACAGGAGGGGAGACACCTATGGGCGGCTTTCTTTGACATTGAAAAGGCCTATGATTCAATCTCCCACTCAAGGCTCTGGTGGGAACTGACACAGATTGGAGTGCCAGGTTCAGTGCTTGAGCTCCTCCAGGAGCTGTACAGGGACACAACGGTTGTGGTGGAATGGGAGGGCATGAACACTCAACCAATCCCAGTGACAAGAGGCTTGCGACAAGGATGCCCCCTTTCCCCTCTCCTGTTCATGTTATATATGTCTAGATGGGAGACAGAACTGGAGGAGTGTGGGAGAGGCCTCAACCTGTCTTACATGGAAAATGGGCAAATGGTGAGACAACATCTTCCAGGACTATTTTATGCGGATGATCTGGTGCTGACAGCGGGCACCTGTGAAGAGATGCAACAGCTGCTGGACATATGCACAAAACAAGGGGACAGACTGGGCCTAAAGTTCAGCTCCCGTAAGTGCAAAGTGCTGAAGTGGGGGCCTACAGAGAATGTAGAGGGGGCTTTGGACACACCGCTTGTACTGCAGGGGGAGACTGTGCAGTGTGTCACGGACTACAAGTACTTGGGTGTACACCTGTCCACGGGTAGGAACTACATCCAAGCACATGAATCGGCTGTCCGAGCAAAGGCCATGAGGGGAAAGGGAGTGCTGGCAGCAACGTCCATGTGGGCTTTCGACCGCTACGAAGTTGCTCGTAGCCTGTGGAAGATGGTGATGGTGCCCGGACTGACTTTTGCGAATCGGGTGCTGTGCACGTCGTCTCAGACTCGGGAGTTCCTAGAGGTTAGACAGCGGGAGGCGGGACGGATGGCACTCGGGGCACACAGGGGGACTCCGAACGAAGGGGTGCAGGGGGACCTCGGATGGTCTGCTTTTGAGTCGAGGGAAGCGGTGGCTAAGCTGTCTTACGAGAGGCGTCTTTGCGGCCTCGGAGAGGAGCGATGGGCCAGGAGGGTGTTTAAGTACCTCGTGTACAGGAGTGTAAACACGCGCCTGACCAAACGAGTGGCCAGGCTCGCGGGGAAGTATGAGGTACCACCGACCCTGCTGGACGGCCGGCCGCTCCGAGAGGGGGTTGCGGACCTCAAGAAGCACGTGCGGCAGGTCGAGACGCGAACGTGGACGGAGTCGGCCACACGAAAACCATCAATGACTGTGTATGCGGCCTCGAAGCGGGCGATCGAGCGGGAGCAGCTGTATGATGACTCCAGGGGCAGCGGCTTGCTTTTCGAGGCACGAACGGGGACCCTCAAGACCAGGCTGTGGAGATCGCGATATGACGCTGGGGCCCCAATCGCCTGCGTCGCCTGCGGAGCAGCAGAGGAGACAACCGAACATCTGGTGCTGCAGTGCAAGGTCCTCAGCCCGTGCCCCCAGGTGGACCATCTGCCGGACGCGCTGGGCTTCCGGACGGCGGAGCGGGGGGATGACGGCGAGGAACACGTCGAGACCACCAAGCGCCGACTGGAGCAGTGGTGGGAGATTTCCTGGCGGCTGTGGAAGAGGGAGAGGCGAGCTGGGCCGGACGTGCAAGCGCAAGCCGGACAACCGATGTTTTCCGCCCAGGTCGACCTGCCCCACACCGTGGACCCGACCGAAGCTCCACCACAACAAGAACTCGGCTAGGCTTGGCTAGAAACCAGACTAAGCAAGCCTTTTTATCTTATTTTTTTTGGCAGGCCATCGCCGGAACTTCCGGCGAGCGGCCACCCGTTACAAAGGGGACGCCACTAAATCCAAATCCAAAATCCAAAATCCCGACGTCACATCAGGGATCGAGAGCGTAGGAAGTGCGTTGTGCATGCTGACCACGGCCAATTCTCATGCGGACTTAGGATTGTTTTTCATTCTTCGCTGAATTTTGCGGTTCATGGATGGGAGGAGACTTTTGTTGTGCGGTTGGGTGTCATAACCAACGATCTGTGGACAAGAACGTCACCTTCCACACGTTCCCGCAAGAGAAAGCGCGGCGAGCAAGATGGGTGACTGCAGTACGCAGGGAAAACTGGGCTCCTACAAAGAGTTCACGCTTGTGCAGCGAGCACTTTTCAGTCGAGAGCTACGAGATCAGCTCAAGACTCGCGAGAGAATTCGGGCTTGGACAGAAGGCTCCAAAACTGAAGCCTGACGCTGTACCGACGATCTTCGGCTACGTCGTCGCGCCACCAACCCCTCACCGTGGAGCCTTCGCGAAGAGGAGACGCAAAGAGGCAAGTTTCAGAATCTGGATTCTAAAATCGCTTGATATTTTCTCTGCATCCCGACTGCACTACGACGGGCCGGCCCGTTTTGGCTCGTGTCTCCCGAGCTCCAATGCGCTAGGGGTCTGATTTTGGTCTCCGTGAAAGCGAACGAGATATAAGCTGGCACGCACAAGAGCTATAGCTGCCAGTTTGAACTAAACGCGCTAAAATATCGTTCGCTGACACGTTGTCTGCCGACACGAGCGTAGAAGAGTTGACCATAAATAACTCCTGGAGAAGGCGAACGAAAGGGCAAATACAAATCTCCAACAACAAATGACTAATGCCAGGCCAAGAAAAAAGAAAAAGAACCAGGCAGATTCTGTTAGTCGCGCACCAGTCACCTAGCTATTGTTGATTTGTATGTCTCATTTGTCTCCTTGTTGCCCTTTCCAACAATTATTTATCGTTTATTACTATCGACATTTGTCCTAGAACATATGTCTGCTGGTTCACGAAGGACGTACTAGACGACCCATACTTCGTTTGTAAATGTCACTTTGTTTTCCTACCTCACGTAAGCTGATATCCACTGGTAGATAAATAAGCACTCATTGTGAACCTGTCTCCCTGATTGTCACCAGGTGAGATGTTCTCACCAGATTATTGCCTCAGTGTCCGTGTAACGACGAGTACACCACATGAAGGTTTTTCCCAAATCATTGAGACTATCGATAGGAAATGTGCTTCTGTCAAATGCTTGTGCCGCATTTACACGCTGCTCGTGCGAAATCTTCCTGTACTGGCAATTTCTGAAATGGCCGAATCTTTCCGTACTGGCAATTTCTTAAATGGCCAAATCTTTCTGTATTGGCTATTTCTGAAGGGGTCAAATCTTCTCGTACTGTAAATTTGTGAAGTGGTGAATTTGCTCTATATTTTGAGAACCTAGAGAACACGCAATTTTTGCAATTGTGGCGAATGTATTGGTTGAGTGATTTTGATGTGCCGCAATTACGTGGGAATATCAGAAAAAGTGGTGTGACATGAGACGTTATTCACGAACACAGACTGTTGATGAAGCCATCGCTGCAAGCACATCGATGGACGTTGACAGTGTGGTCCTGGATCAAGATCCAGATCCTCAACCAGCTGGAGAGGAAAGCCCTGATCCAGAGGGGGAACAGTCTCCTATGGACATCTGTGAACCTCCACTAGCAGCTGCACCGGGTCCAGAAAAGGTGTCCGTCTTCGTCCAAACGGAGGGTGTCCAAGTGTGCACACAATCAGTGCAGACGAAGAAGAAAGCCAAGAGCATAGGTGAGGGAATCTGTTTTGATTATCTCGTATCTAGACTGAGTTTAGTAAATGCATATTAAAAAGAAACCAGTTAATTTGTTCAGTGGATTCTGTACAATATCGAGGAAGGTATAAACATACTGCAAAAACGGTTCGGAACATGAGATTTTGTTTAATTTTCTTATTGAAGCTTGTATCTGTTCACCATATATGCGCATGAGTTTATGCACTAGGATAAATAAGAATCTCAGCTTTGTTTTGTTTTTTTTCAAAGTTTGAAAAAATATTTTGTTTAAAACTGCCAGAAAAAAAAATATTCTGGGCTATTTGCTTTCGAGGTGTAGAAGGCTTGTTGTCTCTTGTAATACCTAGCAATTGCATATCATCGCAGGAACTCAAACGTTTGAAAACACCGTCAGCAAAGAAGTGCAAACTGAGGCCCCCCCACACCAACAAAACAGTCAAAGCACATCTGAGCCCATGCTGGTGGAGTCTGCTGAAACAAACGGTGACAGCTCCGACTCTGATGAGTAAGTATGTTTGTGGACTGAAATTAGGTTCCAATCACTTCCGGCAAATGCAGCACTTAGAAAACTTTCTTTTTAGTAATGCCGTCCTTTCCCATGGTGAAAAAACCTTTCTATATAAGCGTGGTCCTTAGTTTGCTTTTCTCTTTATGCTTTACCTTGTTGTACATTGCAACAGAAAATGAAAGGCCCACCTTGATTCTTTCATTCTGACCATGTAATTCAATGTAACCTTTCGCATCTGGGAGCGTCGTCCTACCACCTTGAAGCCAGTTCAGTGCTTTAATACTTGTTGGTATTTACGGCGGCGGGGGGGGGGATGGGGGGGAGGGGAGGGGATGGGAGGGAAGGGAAGGGAAGGGAAGGGATGGGAAGGGGGGGAGGGGAGGGGTATGCCCAGGTATACAGGTTGCTAGCCACGCTCTAAGAAAAGACAGAGCACTGTAGGTTAGGAATTGCGTCCTTCAAGCTTTAGGAATTGAAACATTGGACTATAGAGATTGCAAGGAAAGTTTGTGTGCAGCATCAGGGGAATTCTACATTGACTAATTTTAATTTCATTTAAAACAATGCTGTGTCTAAAGGTACGTCGGACGTATCGGGATCCCAGTCTAAAGATACGTCGGACGTGCCCGGGACACGGAGTCTGTAGGCGTAGCCGCTATTTGCATTTGGGGTGTTCGGGGCACCATGTAGTACGCCGTATCCGTCGCCGACCCCGAGCTTAGCGGACTAAACTGACGAGTTTCGAGAGCAATGTTTGAAAGAGAGTACGAAACTAATGAAACGTGAACCTTCGCGTGCCGTTTCTTGCCATTTCCTTTGCTGGTATTCAAAGTTTTGTTTCGTACAGATGTGTGAAGCACGCATTGTGTGAAAAAGGATTGGCGGGTCACGGCTCCTGCCTACCGATTTTTGCGCTTGTATGGTGCGTTCCTTTACATACACCTACTGACGTATAAAATCGACAAGGAGCGAGCACTGCCGAGCAGCTTTCGGTTTTTTCTCCATTAATGACCCTGGAAATGCAAAACTGGAGGCCCTTGCATAACTTTGCTTGGGAGGGAGAGCCAGAGCTTGGTAGCTCTTGGGAGGAGCATACTTTTGTGACGCTCCGTTCGTCCAAGGAGTGGTTGTGGTCCACCAGAGCGATTCTTTCTCCCATAGTCCAGGAGGGACGTGGGAGGGCCTTAAGTATACAGGCTAGGGAGGCGAAGCAAGGCCACCTGTCTATGGAGAGAGAGGTGCCAGAGCTCGATGGCTTGTGGCTACTCTAACTGGATTGGAATGGATCGATTTGTAACAAGCTTGAGTTGATAGAACCTTTTTTTTTATCCTAGTCGTAAATGCAAGTACGAGAAAACGCGACTTGCGAGTATGGGGCGGGTGCATCCGACGGACCGGTGGCCATTCACCGGCTACGTCCGACGTATCTTTAGGCTCTGGGATCCAGCTACGTCCGACGTATCTTTAGACACAGCGTTGAAACAAACATTCCTCAATGGCGGACTTCTGGGTGTGACTTGAAAATTTGTCACTTTATATGTGAAACTAATAAAGGGAATATGGTACACCCCCACAAAAGTAATCAGAATTGATTTAGACCCCGTGGGTACCCTAACGCACTACCAAAATCACAGTTCCATGGAGCCTACACTGTGAAAAACTTCTCTCAGAATATAGGTACCTCGATACAAACATGCAACTAGAGGACCCATGTGTTAGCACCTATTGCCTCAAAATTTATGAATCAGTGGACTTCTCGATATGAGCCTTGGCGGCACTGATAATTCCTCAAACTATGCATGTATTTGCAGGGATCCTCTGGGCCTTCTTCAAGAGGACCCAAAAGACACAAACTACTACCCGGACTCATCAGAGGATAAAGAGTTGAGTAAAATAGAAAAAAAAAACTAATAGAGACTTTTCCCCCTGTTTTTGGTTTATTTTAACCATTGATTGTTTCTTTTTTTTTATTTGAAGTGTTCTAGAAACGGAGTCGACACCATCAGGAGACCACACGTCTGTGAACAAATACATTGTATTTGAGACCTGCCTTGAGAAGCTCCTGAAGCGCTGCCCTCAATGCTTGTCCATGGAGACCGAAGTTGCCTTCCGCTGCGTCGGATCTATGGTCCAGGCTACTGTCACCTGCAGCGCTGGCCACATCAGCAATTGGGAGAGCCAGCCCAGGTGTCATGGCAAACCAGTCGGCAACATCCTGATCTGTTCTGCCATCGTCTTCAGTGGAGGCAGCCCAACCAAGGTGCTCCGCCTCTTTGACATCATGGGCGTCGCAAGCATTCGGTCCACCCAATTCTACGAGTACCAGAGGTGCTACCTGCTGCCAGCAGTGACAGATGTAAGTTGCTTGAATCGTGTTAACTTTCAGACTAGGAGTCTGTAGGCAGATAATTATAAAGGCTGGTACCATGGCTGTTTTGTGTTGTTGTCTCTCCTGTTTGCTTTCCTAATCAATTGCTATAAACATTCTTGAGTCTTTGAACAAGGTCCTGTCTTTTCGCAACAGGTATGGAGAGCTGAACAACAAGCTCTCATCGACAGCCTGAGAGGGCGCCCGCTACGGCTGGCTGGTGATGGTCGGTCTGATTCTCCAGGCTTTTCTGCCCTTTATGGAACATACTCCCTGCTCGAGACGACCGTCAACCGCATCATCCACCTGGAACTCGTGAAAGTGAGCATTGAGGTTTTATATTTATTTACTAGATACAAGTTATCTTTCTCATAGACCTCGGTGCTAATTTTCTTGTTATTTTCAAAAGTCACGAGTGTGCTCCTTTGTTTCATTTACACTTTCCCCTGTCTATGTTCTTTTATTACGATATTGATTGTCTTGCACTTACTCCGGATTGTCATGAGAAGCGGACAATTTTAACGAGTTTCAAAGAAAAGGGACAAACAAAAGTTATACGATTGCTGGCAAGGACCAGAAAGATACTCAACAGTCCAAACAGAAACCCTAGCAGCAGAAACGAAAAGTATGGAAAACCATAAAGCTGGCGAAGCCGGCAAAATGTAAGAGAGGCAAGCAGCCAAGATAGCTACTGTCGTTGTGGCTAAAAAGATGCATATGTGTTTGTAGTTACATGAAAGCGACAGGAGGTTCATCAACTCCAGGTCGCATATTAATTGAAGTAAATAGGCCACCATTTTTATGGGCGCATGTGGTGTACATCAAGTCCTGAGTGGAGCCAGCGCCACACACACAACAAAGAAGAATGCGTCCTTTGGGGTATCAGTGCTCTTACGGCTTGGGACCACCATCATGCAAGGCATGTAGAGTAGGGACCAGAGATTCGGTGGCAAAACGGAAATGGATCGGCAATATAAAATGTTCGATGGATAGACCTGGCATGAGTATTGTTTCCGGATGTCGGTGTTATGGGTTTTTCTTGTTCATTCAAGGAACTTAACTGATAGTTTTGTTCAGCAGACTGCAGCTGTCAGACTGCAGCTGTGTAGCAGCGTTCTATCTTGTCCATTTGTCTACTTTCCATCAGCACACGTTTTTCCATCGGGAACTTATCCCAGCTCACCTGCCTCCTTTTCAGCTTAGCAACCCTGCTTAGGGCTTCCTCAAAGAGAAAAGTTCTCAACTCAGAATGCAGGCTGGCTTTTGGGGAAAATATTTTAAAGTTCACTACCTGGAGTTTGATGAGCTCGGTTATTCAGAAGCCACTGTTTTCACACATCGCTGGTTCGGGAGCTTTCAGGATGAAAATACATGATGGTTGTCTTTAGCAAAAACCTCCACACCATTAAGCAAGGAAGCTAGATTCTGTTGGTATATTGAGCGGCAGTGACCTAGATTGAGTTCCCCGAACGTCCCCTTCGTACCTGTTGTGGTTTATCTTTTGCCCCGATGTTCACAAAAGGAAGCTCTCTTCTCCTCCTTAGTGACCCTTGTCGTTTCATACACATCCCGACCCTGTTTTCCGACGGGGCAACAGTTGGTTCTAAAAACGTTGAACGCTGGCTTAATAGTTTTTGGTTGTTTTTCAGTCAACTGAAGTGAAATCCAGTTGTCACATGGAGCTGGAGGGACTGGATAGGTCTCTGACCTACTTCGCGAAGGAGGACCTCACTGTGGAGGTGATAGTCACCGATAGGCATATGCAGGTCAGCGCATATATGAAGCGGGAGCACCCCCTCATCCAGCATCGTTTTGATCTGTGGCATGTCAGCAAAGGTAGGCCAAAAAGAAACAACCCTGTTTACCGAACCTATTGATGTTTTAGAAAGTGAAACAGCATCCGCTCCACCAGCTCAGGGGAATGTGTTAAAAAGCCCGACTTAGTGTGATGTGCAATCAGGGAAAAATTAAATGCAGACAGCGGTGTGCGTGCTTCTCGGTACAGGGTCACTTCCAGGCAGCACAGCCTGTACCGAGAGGCACGTGCTCCGCTGTCGGACCTTGCAAGAAAATGAGTGCCTCTTGGTTGTACAGTGTACTAATATTGGAGTCCTGTGTTGTCGGGGTGTATTTGTTTTGAAATCCAGAAGGAATTTTTCAGGGTTTTTTAATTTTTTTCTAGAAATATGCACCCGTATTCACCAGGCGCGACTAACTAGCGCCGTTTTAAGGTTAGTAGCACGACTAAGTAGTCGCGAGATGAACGGGAAATCCGCAAGTAACGAGCGATTATGTTCTGCGGTATTCACGAGCGCGAAGCGAGCGGGTGACTATCTAGTCAGAACTAACAGGCGGAAGTGACGTAAAAAGATGGGTCATACATATGCATACTTAAATGCCACTGCGTAAATGGGTATTTTATTGTACAAAAACTAAACTTTAAATGTTTATCAGGAGAAAAAAGTTACAATGAGAGACATATCCGAGACAGAGTTTTACAAAGAAAAATTTAAAAACAATGCCAGGGAGAAACACGGAAGCCGCATTGCCAGCGACATAAACAAATATGGAAGCGCCCTTAAATGTGTTTTTTCTTTCTCGTCGTCCAGCGCCCTGCTGAGATCTCTTTAGCGGTATCTCTGACCGCTGAACATGGCTATTTGCACATTATTTGCTCCTCCAATTCTTTCTAGATGTGTCCCCCAGCGTTCCGAGACAGTAAGTGCTTCGTTAGTGCTGGCGGTCAGCAGTGATACGAGTCGGCCATGGCGCTGAGCCGTCCCACTACACACCGGCTAAACTAGCCCTTCCCCATGACTAAGATTTGTTAGTCGACTTCTTAGTCATGTGGGGCGACTATGCCCTAAACACGGACGGTGGATACCAAGTGCCCACCTAGTGGCGACTATCGCTCGCCATGTGATCATTTTAGTCGATGACGTCAGTAGTCAGTGGTTGAGCAGGCGCTACTCGTGCCTGGTGAATACGGGTGATGGTGTTTTCCAGGATTATATTTAGTGCCAGCATTTATCGGGCCTTATGTTAAAGAAAAGATGACGTGGCATGGGCTACATTATTAAAAACAGCTTAAAAGGATTGAACAAAAGTGGAAGAAGCACACAGGACAAACGTTGACTGCTAACTGGAGGTTTATGGGAAATTCCACATGTGCGCAGTACATCGCACATTAATGCGCTTATGTAGTCACAAGGTAAGAGCGGCCTAAATTAAACTCGAACTTTGGCTCGTGTGGACCATAGTTTTAGTTATTTTTACACGCGTTTCATAACCCTGATTTTACTGATGCAACTAGTTCGCATGAGCCAAAGTTCGAGTTTATCTTGTGCCGTTTTTACTTTGTGATTAGATGAGCACGTTCATGCGCGAGTTGCTGTGCACATGGAATTTCCACTAAACCTTCAGTTTACAGTCAGCGTTCCTCCTATGTGCTTCCTCCACTTTTGTCCCGTCCTTTTACGCTTCTTTTAATACTCTTGTTCAACCACCAACTAGCCCAGCAATCCACCCTTTTATGGCTTAGGCGAATTTTTCAATCTCTAGGGGACATTTGCCTGGCCCCAATTCTTAGGAAATGCCGCTATCTCGATATGAGAGTGAAACGAGACAAGGGGTGGCGGCCCGCAAAAAAAGCAGCCTTGCAGTTTGCTCAGAGCAGAGGGAGTTCCAGATCAACATAAATGAAGCTGTAGACAAAGATTTCATAACCTCATACTGGAAATTATCCCATTGAAGGGCAGTTCGGATTCGGGGCTTCTTGGTTTTCCCCGATTCCGAGAAAAATTCTTTGGTGGTTATTGGCATTTAACGAAAACATGAAACCTTCGTTATTACTCTGCACTGGAGTTATTGATAGCACAAACTACCTTAGGATACTGCGCATCCACCCATTCCACGTTAAAGGAGTGATGCAACAATTTTTGTACTTTGCGCAAATACCGCTTAAAACGGATCCCTACCGTTAATGACCTATGAAACACGCGTTCGTTTTTCACCCCACGCAATAGAAGTCCCAGAAAAAAATTTAAGAAAAACGAGCAGCGTTCACCCCCTCAACTCGCAGCCAGAACAAGCGGCCACGTGATCTGGACCCGATTATATGCCGCCAATGTTGATCATAGCCACGCGCTGGGGTTGGCAAAGCGCAGGACACGCGCTGAGTTCCAGACATTGTTATGGCTCGGCTGTTGTCGTCGTTGCGGCGATTGGACACGGGTCACTACCCGAATGCTTCTCGAGCTAGCAATTATCACGAGCCCAAGTCGAGTGCCCACGCAATGCTCGGGTCCAATCTATGAACTGCATTCAAATATCGTCACTTGGGTGTACTACGATCCCCACGTTACGTCATCAAATTTTGCAAAGGAGAGATTGAATGAAAATGATCGCTTTTGTCCTTGAAATTACACCGCAACAAACGAGTTTCTTGGCCAGTGGCGTTGCGTGTGAGTACCCTTCAGTCCCAGGTGTGCCAGTAAGCTCGTGTCAAGTGAAAACCATTCCAATTGAATATCGTTGCACCGCTCCTTTAAGCGCCCGTTCCCAAATTTGTAAGATCCGAGAGAATATGCTCAGTACATTAATATGCAAAATTTATGACCGGAGCAGCGCCCATTTTCACGATTATCTCTAAATTTTGAGTGGGTGCTTGCCGGGTATTTCACAGTAAGTGAACATATTGTAAATGATCGCTAAAACATTGAACGAGGGCAAGGCGAGAGCTTTGCCCGGGAGTTTGAAGCCGACTACCTGGCTACTGGTCCCGTATTGCCGACTAAAATAATGGCTGGGGTACCCGAATCGGAGAGACACTGGTTTTCCCTTATATTATTCTTTCAAGGTCGAAATTGTCGCTCCTGCTGAGGCATTTACCATTTCTCATTGGTTTGACTTTTAAGCCCCCCCCCCCCCCTCGCTGAACGCAGTGATCTTAATTTTTTCAATGGGGTCATGGTTTGTGCCACTGATATACGAAGCTGTTATTTATTCAACACCCTTGGACATGATGCTGCATCATTAGAGACCTCACCTGTCACATACTCTGAAAATGGCAGCTAACCGACCAAGAATGTATTGGTGTGCTTAGGTTATAATGAAGGTTGAAGTATTCGCATGGTTCTCTTATCAGTGCCTGAATTAGGCTTGCATTGAAAGTATAAAAGCATATATTTGCAGGCATCAAAAAGAAGATTGTGGCACTGGCCAAGTCACCACGCCACAAGTCCTTGGAGCGATGGTTGGAAAACATCACAAGGCATCTCTACTGGTGTGCTCGCACCAGTAACGGCCAGGGAGACCTCATCCTAGCGAAGTGGACGTCCATCACGCGACATATCTCCGACGTCCACCATCACGTCAACCCACTCCACCCAGCTTGTTTACACGGGAATCTTACTGATCGGTTCTGGATCGAGGAGGGTGAGTTCTTGAACTGCACATTTTAAAGAACTGGTACACATTCACTAAATTTTTTTAGGGACCGAAACCTTCAAGAAATTGGAGTCGGTTGTGCTCTCGAGTCACCTCCTCCGGGACATCCCCAAACTCTCCTCGGACGAGCAAACCTTTGGGCTGGAGGCTTTTCATGGAGTTCTCGTCCACTTTGCTTCCAAGTCTGTCGGGTACTGTCACGAAGGACTGCTGGCAAGGTGGGTGTTACACTAGCCAAAGCATGAGGACAGCTTATTTATCATGCATTCTTGTCTATTTCAGGACGTACGTCGCAGCGCTGCACTTCAACAGCAACGCAGACAGGAAGATTCGCCAGGCGGACAACGGCGACGACAAGTATGTTCTGAAATTTTCCTGAGGAAGGAAGCAGTGGACGATTGTTCCCGTCAAGGAAGACACAAAGTTTGGTATGTGATCTCAACAAACTTTATATGAACAAAGGATTTATAAGCACTAAGGTGCGTACATACAGACATAATTTATGTGATTTGGAGTTTGCTTAACAGTGTGAAAGTCTACTTTGTGATCGAAAACCTTTTTTCCAATACTGGACCTTTAGGAGCATCAAGCGCAAAGCAAAGTTTGTGGAAGTAACATGTAGCAGAGCGCGTTAGACAAACTAAAGTTCAAACAGAAAGAATAAAACACTTAAAAGGGCGAAGGACAAAGAAGTGCGAGTATCTGTCCTCTCTCCTTTTAAATATTTTTTTTTTCTTTCTGTTTGAACAAAGTTTGCGGAGTGCCTTGATTGGATATGCACAACGATGACGTTGCGCCGGGCAAGATATTAATCATTAAAACTTTTTCGCTACTCAGATTCGAGCTGGAAGCCTGGAACACAAACTTGAAATAGAATTCGTTGGAGCGCATGTGGGATGCGCCAATTGGTTGGCATTTTTGATAACACTACGGGTTTTTCGACCCTGAATGTGTCTCGCTAAGTCCGTGATGTTTACTCAAGACAGCCCATTATTTTTTTTTTTGTGGTGGCCGTAATTACCGTCTTAATACTGCTTGCCCCACAGATCAACGGCCATCTCGGCTCAGCAGAAAACGGGAAAGCAGTGCGAGATTTGGCAACGTCTTGCATAGTTGTTGCTTGCATTTTTGCGTAAAAAGAAACGTTTCGCCTGGAGACGTCGCAAATGGCTGTGTTCGGGCGAAAGAGGTAGCTCTGCTCCTAGGAACCGAGAGGGATTGTTTGTCCCTGCACATTGGAATATTACGAAGATGAGTGTATTTCCATGTTTGGGAGAGGGTGAATCTTAGCAGCAAACTTTTGGGACCTCCCTTCGCTACGTCACAGACAAAAAGATCTTTGTGTTTGACGGTTCTAGGGTTCCTGGATTGTTTAAACACAAGAAAAGGCAGATTGCAGTGTGTGTTTGTGGCTATACTCAGTTCCAGCACAAGCCCAGGTGTGGCAGATGCTGCGAGTAGGCGCAGCCAATCCGGTGCCGAGACCATATCACGTGACCCGCCGGTTCTGTGCGGCGGCGCGCGGAGCACATATTCATGACACGTGATTGCAGCATGGCATTGGCTGGGATGGCATGCAGCATCGGCCGCGTCCTACTTATGGTGAACGGAGTATAGTCAAAATAGGGGTGTTTTGTCACGTCTTGACTGAAGAGGTCCAGCTTGGCAGTTCTTACAGGCCGGGAACGTCAAGGGGCCATAGTAATTGTCTAAAAATTCTCATGAACATTGTGATACAAATCACATGTTATCATACAACATCTCCCAGGGTACATCACGAAGCTCCTGGCTGGCGTTTTTGAGCGCATTGAAAGGTATCCGACCTTCAAGGCAGCAAGCGCATCACTTTCCAACCGGAAACTGGCGACACTGAGCAGCTCACAAGCAAAGAAACCAGACCTGGAGAGTGCTGTTGCTGCTCATCGTTCACGTTACCGAAGGAAACAACTTGAGTAATGTGTGTTTTGTCAGTTGGCTTCATCGTTTGATCATAATGTAAAAACAGTGCAAAAAAATATGTGCTTGTCTGCTTCGTCTGTTTTTTTTTGCACTTTTTTTTACATCATGATCAATACCAACTAACCCAACTCTCGATGTTGCTCCATCTTTACATTGCTGCTTTAGAGCAAGAGCCCTCCCTTTATTTACTTCTCTTATGTTTTTTCCAAGAGTTATTTGTCACAGGTCAAGAAACTATGTTTTGCTAGGCTGCATACCATTGCCATGATACATCTTAACTGCAGCATGCAGCAACACTGGAACATGTTGACTGTCTGCCAAGCAAACATTGATGTTGGCCAAAACAAGTTTTTATCCACAGTTTATGTTGTAGGGTTCTCGTCCGATTCCCCGGGCCCCTGTCTCTGGATGAACATGACACAGCAAGGCATAGCTCTCGGCAGAAGGGGTGGCATAGCTCTCGGCAGAAGGGGTTTGTTCCACTCACATTTTGCTGGGGGGTTTCGGGATCAGGAGTGGTGATCGAGGAAGCCCGGAGGGGGTGTGCCGTCACTGTATGCTGCATGCCGATCGTTCGTGCGGTGCTAGTCCACACCGCATCCTGTGGAGGTCGCCGTCGAGGGTCAAATCTGGGTATAAGTCCGGACCATGTCACCATGTCACCGGACCGCACCGCCGGCTCGGGTGACGGCCCGGTGACATGGTCCGGACTTCGACCCCCCGGATTTGATCATCGACGGCGACCTCCACAGGATGTGGTGTGGACTAGCACCGCACAAACTATCGGCATGCAGCATACAGTGGCGGCGCACCCCCTCCAGGCTTTCTCAATCACCTCTCCCGATCCCGAAACCCCCCAGCAAACTGTGAGTGGAATAAACCCCTTCTGCCGAGAGCTATGCGTTTGCTGTGTCACGTTCATCCAGGGACAGGGGCTCAGGGAATGGGACGAGAACCCTTCAATGTTCAGCAAGCAAGGTTTTCAGCAAGCTTTCCGAGTCCCGACAACTCCATATGTCCTGCATTTGATTCACAGTGTTTAATCAGCTTTAGGTGATGATTGAGAGCACACACAAGCATCAAGAGCTCATGCCTCACTAGTGATGAATACATTCTTCCTACCGCAATGCCCTAGTTGGTTGACCAGGAGCAACGTGCTGACCTACAGTTGGTAGATGTCAGCAGAAGGGAGTGGGTGACAATGTGTAGGGTTCAAAAGGCTATGTAAACACAAGAGGAGAAGGTGTTGCAGCTTGGATGTTTTCAGAAGACTGATAAGTAGCAAGAACAGTGATGAATGTGTGGGCTTTGCAAACTTTACTGCACATATACGGTTGTGATATGTGTGTATATGTAATGTTGCACTTTCACAACACACTCAAAATAGATTTTTTTATTTTTTTATTTTACGTATACTGCAGGCAGTGGCACTGCCCAAGCAGGGGAGGGTACAGAAGGAGCTTAGTCAATAAATGTTTGACATCAGTACATTCCACAAGGAATGATGGCAAGCAGTTCCATTGTTTTCAGTTGTGTTGGGAAAACATGACTTTTGAAAAAAGGTTAGCTCTGGCATAGTATGGGCATATGACTTTAGAGTGCTTTAGTCGAGCTGATCTTTGTGGCACAGGGGGAAGATAAGCGACACTTGACAGACCAGATGAATTGTTATACAGTAAGTAAAGAAACTTCAGCCTAAAGATTTGTCGGCGAACGTGGAGTGGTTCGAGCTCAAGCTGCTTTAACAGGTTGGTTACTTATGATGGAGTGCGGTAGTCTGATAGGATGAATCATGCAGCAAGACGTTGGATCTGCTCCACCTCCGCAATGTCTTTTACAAAATATGGGTCCCACACAATAGAGGCATACTCTAAAACTGGGCGAACTAGAGAACAGTAAGCTACAAGTTTCACAACCGAGTGGCACCCTTGTGAGTTTTCTTCGAGGAAAGCATAGCTTTCTGAACGCTTTGGCACATATGTTATTGATGTGCTGGTCCCATTTGAGGTTGTTTTTAATGGTTAGACCTAAGTACTTCGCAGAGGAAACTTCTTGAATGCACTGATTGTCAATATGGTAAATGTAGGAAGGGGGCTTTTTTTTTTGTAGTCAGTGTCATTGAGATGGTTTTAAAGAAGTTAATTTTCATTTTCTGAAGCTCGCACCAGTCCGCAAGTTTACGAAGGTTTTCATTCAATGTAGTCTGACAGGAAGAATTTTTGACAAGAGTATACATTACGCAGTCATCCGTCAACAAGTTTACACTAACGTATTTATCAATATTTTTGGCAATGTTGTTAATATAAAAAAAAGTAGCGATGCGAGCACCCTGTGGTACACGAGACAAAATTTGTAGACCACCAGATTTAGAGGCACCACATTCAACGAATTGAGAGCGGTTTTATAGATGCGCCTGTATCCAACAAACCAGCCTATCAGGTTGAACTTTGGTGGACATTAGAGTTGTGGAGCATGATGATTATCTGAAACTATAGTCTAGTGAGTTCAAAGACCATTCAAAGTGGTCCATGTTTCAAACTCGGTCTTTGCACGGTGCGAATGTATGTTGTGTCGCGAAACACCACGGTTACCACCACCGCTTCTCATTTGCAAGATACAGCACGTGCCTTTGATTTTTTTTTTTGTTTTGTTTTAGGCCATGTCAAGAAGCTCATTGAGGCTGTTCAGCTTTCATGTGTCAATACTATTGACTTGTGAAACTTTTGATCAGGTGTTTATTATTGCTGCATGGAAACGTTTCTTGTTGGTTTTTCTTCACGACAGTTACACCGGTCTACCGGTCTACTGGGCTTTCCGTAATGTGACGTGTCAGTTTGACTCAGTGTTGAAGTTTTGGTTTTGCCATAGTTGCTAGTTTTATTTTAACCCTGGCAATATATTTTGCTGAGGTTTGACTGATGTCTTGTACTGTTGTGTGAAAATGTTTTTGTAATCGCAGACTGTTGGTGAAAACTTCCCTTCGAAGGGGTACTAAAGAGTATTTTTAGTTCGTCATGGCCTTGATATGACCTACGTGCTTCAAGAATTCCGGATATCGAGAAATTATTTTTCTGAGTGCCCAAGTTCAATATAAGAAGCATGCTCAAAGCCCATCTGGAGGATGTTTTTTTATGCTCAACTAAGGTGCGACTTAAAGGGGGATACTACAACAAAATTTCGGCGCTTGTTTTTTGGTTTATGTGTGTTTAAAGGAGCAGTATCACATCGAACACATCTTTTTGTGAATCTTTGTTAACAAAATCACGAAAAGGAATTTTAAGACGAATTAAACGAATAGCAAAGAGCACCTGGTGGATGTCGCTAACGCCTCGCTTGTAGTGCCCGTCTAGGAACCTTGACAGGTAGTGACAGCAACTGTCCCTTCCGGCGGCCACAACGAGAGGAGGGGAAGGAGGAACTCGCCTCTCCCGAGAATCCCTTTTGTGTGACCCAGAAGTCGCAATTGTCCCTCTACAAGATCTATAGAAGATTAACCAGGCATTGAAAATTCGTACAAAAGCAGCCGCTTCGGTGGCTGGAACGGCTGGGCCATCCTCTCGACATCAGCCTCGCCATAGCTTTGCTCGTCCCGAGACGAACTACGTCAAGATTGCTTTGGATTTCACGCCCTCACCACTGGCTGTTCTCCGAGTGCTTGGCAGAGTGGGCCGTTTCTAACGAAAAATAGAGCCACCAGGCTCAAAATACAAATGTGCGATTGTCATTTACGGATATTGTGGATCAGATTCAACCTATTTTTGAACACGACAGGCATGTTTCAAGTTTTGTTCAAGTATCTCTTTAAAAGTGGGGCAAGAGAGGACTATCCGAGTGCCGCTACACCGGCCTGGTACTAGCTGGGAAACCGCCAACCAACCGCGAAAGGCAACTCTTCAAAGTCACATCGCATACGCGCTTTCAAGCTACCTTTAATTTTTTGGGATTGTAGAAGCACATAGATCATATCAAGGTAATAAAAAAGTTACATCAAAGCCTCTTTAGTTTAACTTGCAGTGTTGTCATATTTTTCTCCACAAATGGCAATTCATGGATAATGCTGCAAGAAAGTAAAGTTACTTGTATTGTTCTTAAAAAACTTCTAGAATGTGATATCTTTATTTTTGTAATATCAGACTGTTCCCATGGCTTTTGGATCCTCCTCCCTGTTTAGTATCTGCTCCTCATGCTCGTTACACTAGAGTTTGGGACAAACATTGTATTTTCTTGAAGTCCTGGTAGGTAAATTTATATTGTGTTTGATTAAAAGAATTATCTGCACCATTATTTGCATCTGCACATTTTTTTCTGATTTTGTGGTGTTTTATACTTTGATAGTGTTTGTTTGTATAGCAACTGACAGATTAGCAACTTCACAGAGGAGCATTTAGGTGTCCTCAATGCCACCTCTTCTAGTGTGTAGTCAATGTATTCTTAAAGGCAATGCTTGGACCAGGAAGTTCCAACGGCAAGTTTTTGCCATGCGAATGATTATAGCCTGCAGGCCGTATTTACCTTTATTTTAATGGACTAAAAATTTTGACCGATAAAGATGTTCGACAAGCTATCTGCAACAAAAAAAGGTACCGACACATTTCAAAGACTTGCCTATTCCCACGAAAACAGTTGATAAGAGGGCAACGGAAACTCCTCTCGTATTTTCCTCAGAATGCAACCCGGCAAGCGGTGGCGATTTGATTTTCTACAGTGGCCCCACACTTAGCTCATAAAGACCCGGTATGCTGTGTACCAAAGCTTTCTAGAGGGGGATCTGTGGCCGAATGGGCTAGCGCACACCAGCTCAGAGCACGTGGAGCGAAAGCTCGCGCTGCAGAACCCAAGGATCCTGGGTTCAATTCCCACCCCTGCCTGTTTCGATCTGGATGAGCATCGTACCGGCGTGCTTTCGTGTATCACTACTGCGTGGTGCACGTTAAAGACCCCAGGCTAGTGGTTGTACTGCACTGGCTAAATTGCTCATCTACAGCTGGGAGACTCGTCGCCCCTGTGAGGCAGACCAAGTTCTAGGCTCTATAAACACACACACAACCCAACTTTTTTTTTAAAGCTTTCTAGAAGGAAATGTCATTATTACAGAAAGTATTAAAGCTACTATCACATCTTTTCATCATTTTTTGCACCGAGAGTGAAATTAAAACTTGCCTACTACTTTAGTTTCGAGTAACATACCAATATTCCCACAAGTCAAATGTACTTGGTGCTAATTACAAACCTGCTATTGTCTGTTTCCACTGCTGATGGTGTGTAGTGTTCCATCATTCATGCATGAACTTCCAACAACTCGGTGAAGGCATAAGGCCCAAAATAGTTTGTTGCGAGTGATGCACCCCTCCCGCAGCAGCGGTGTAAAGTAAGGCAGTACCAGGACTGCAAGTTCATTCCAGGTCGGTCCT